AGGATCGCCGGAGCCCAGCAGGTTGAAGCTGTGGTGGCCGGGAGCGGCCACTGCACTCCAATCTGGGTGACAGAGTGAGACTCCAACTCAAAAAAAAGAAAAAGAAAAAGTTTGCCAACCTCTGCACTATAGAACAGGGAAGGGGGAGGAGGGATTCACTTAGTGTAGAGTCAAGACCACCCATGCATCTTTCTCATGATGACTTAGATGGTGGCAAAAAAAATGTCTGCAGCCCCTTTCTCATTCACCCATAAGTGTGCTGGGCCCCCTGAAAGCAGTCCTGTGCAGAAATGAGAGTGTCACTTTTCCAGACCCCTAACTTCCTCCCATGGGGGACTGCTTCCAGGGTCTGAGGTATGTTCTCTGAATATCCTCAATGGCAACAGATCCCTTGTCAGATTTTGTATTTTAATAGCCAGTTGTCACTCAGAATCAAGTATTGCTACAAGATGATCAAAAACAGCTTCGAATGAAATTCAGGTCAGAATAAATTTCTCATGTACTTCAAACTGGCTTTGAAGGCAACTATGAAAAATGAGTAGCATTGTTAGAATTAGCGTGCAGCTTTAACTGAGTTTATAGTAACGTAACACTCTGGTGTTTGTGAAGTTTTAATGTATCTGATTCAATTCTTACAGTAACCCTGCAGTTTTAGCTCTAGGTTACAAAAGAGCTAGCTGAGACTATGATTAAGTTCCTAACTCCCTTGAGGTCACAGACTTGTTTTAAGTCCAGTAAAACTAAATCCAGTAAGATTTCCATCACATGGCAATGTCTCTCAAGGTGGTCTTCTAGAATGGCTCCTCTAAAAAATAGTGAGTTCCTGGATAATTTCTGTTTTGGTCCCACTGTAGAATCTTTGCCGCCGGGCTTGGTGGCTCAGCCTGTAATCCCCCGCCTTTGGGAGGCTGAGGTGAGTGGACTGCCTGAGCCCGTGGGTTTGAGACCCGCCTGTGCAACTTGGCAAGACCTCATCTTTACAATAAATCAAAAACTAGCCGGGCGTGGTAGCGCACGCCTGTAGTTCCAGCTACTTGGAAGGCTGAGGTGGAAGGATCGCCAGAGCCCAGCAGGTTGAGGTTGCGGTGGCCAGGAGCGGCCACTGCACTCCAGTCTGGGTGACAGAGTGAAACTCCAACTCAAAAAAAAAAAAAAGAAGAATCTTTGCCAACAGGAAAGTCAGAATAGGATCATGCTATGCTCTTCTTTAATGGAGCTGGAACACCGGGATAGGAGGCACAGACTGCAATCTTCCACAACCCACTCAGACTCTGTTTCTCTTAGTAAAGGGCTGCTACAGCTCAATGTGAGACAGAGCCATCCACTCTGCTCCCCTGCACAGAATTATTGTCACAAAACTTCACACAAACCAACAAATTCCCCAACTCCTACTCGACAGATGTACAAAAACAATATAAACACAAGAATGCTCAACGCATACCTATTAGATAGAGAGTAAAGGAAATGAACCGGTGGTATTTGCTGAGAATCCGCAAAGGCTCCTCTCTCTGGACCAGGGTGAAGAAGTAATCCGTCACTGTCTCCCCATAGAAGAAGTAGTTTACACACAGTAGGAAGTACCTGTAAATGGAGATAAGTCAGTGCCACGGGAGCACACACAGCCTCTCCCTTACAGTGAGGCAGTCAGACAGCCCCAAGGAGAGGACAGAGGGCAGCAATCCACTGCCCCCTTGAGATTCCCAGGACTGCTCACAGAGGGACAAGCAGACCATAGTTCCCTGCTCTCTGGTGACACTTAGGTAAGGAGTTTATCTAGAAACCAGTGGCTTCCATTCATTCTGCATATGATATAATTCCTTGAAGAGAGGTAGGTTTCAGAAGAGGGTGGTTTGCCCTGTTCCAGTTAGGAACACATGCACAAAAGACCTCAAGTATATTAACAAAATTCAAAACATCGCTTTCCGGCTATAGAACAGCCACTAAAGAGACCTACATCTTAACCCAGAAGTCAGCTTGTGCTGCTGGGTGATGGGGAAGCATCGTAGGAAGGGGGTGCCTGCTCAAAATCTAAGTACATCAGCTCCCTTCACCATGACCAAGTTGCTAGGGCACAAAACACTACCTTCCAGCCCACTAAGTCATAGACTCAATGCCTGTCTCTCTGCACAGCAGGGCTGACAGAGTCTGTATTTGCTCCTGGTATTCTCAGCATATGCAGGGCTCTGTCCAAATGTCACTAACTGAGAATATTATAGCCAATAAAGCAGAATTTTGGATTAGAAAGGGGTCTCAGACATCACCTGTATGACAAGTTTCTATTTTGTTTTTTGCTTTCAGGCAGCTGAGTTGTCTCCTAAGAGAGGGAGAAAGCAGAGTTTCTTGGAGGGGCCCAGATCCCATGCATTCAGCCTTATCCCTGCCCACTCTGGCACTCAAAGCACCTCTGAGGAATGAGAGCTCCAACATCACAGTCTGGAAACTACTAAGTCTCAACTATCTGTTTTAGAGATGAGGAAACTGAGGTTCAGGGCTAGCAATACCAGCACCAGAACCTCACAATTCCCAGGTGGCTGGGTGGGATGCTGCAGTACTCCCCATGGAAATTATACTGACCTAGAAAATGGGGACCATTGTGCAGAGTATAAGGAATCCAAATACCAAGGCAAACACAGCCATAGATGCAACCTACCTGGTTTCTTTTGAGGAAGATTTCAAACGCCTACTAACTATGAAAGACGCCTAAAAGGTCAGTCACATCGTCTATGAAATCCTCGGGTCTCAAAGGCACTGAGCAAGTCTGTGACAATCATTCCTCCGCCCACACACCATCACTGTAAATACCTGCCCCAAAACACATCATCTAAAACTGCTAAGGGTCTCTGTGGGGTCAGAGAGCTTACCAGCTGAGGGTCCTGAACCAGGGCAGGTCATAGGAGTGATAGACATTGTAGCCAATAGTGATTATCTCGTGGAAACACTTAATCTGAACACACATCACCTGCAGGACACAAGAATTAGAACACACGCTGATTCTCCAAGTCTTGGGATCTTAAAACAGAAACCAAAAGGTCATGAGGCTTCAAGAAAAACCATCAGATTTAGGAAAAATATAAGGCCTACAATGGCTCTGCTCACCTCCTCCTTCGTCTCTCACACCATCCCACACAACAATGTAGCCGTCTACATAACAGGGAATAGATCCAATTTCTCACTCACAATAAAGTACATGTCCTGAGGTTTCAATTAACTTTTTATTCTAGAACCTCCTAGAACTCAACTAATCCATTCCCTTTTTGACTTCGAATATAAATACTTGAAAAGTCTCAACTGCTTTGCTAGCATTCAGCTGCTGGTCACCTGACCCTGTCTAGGACAGTGGGAAGACACAAAGAGCGGCTCTGTGGACTGGTATTTCATAATGAAAGCTGTAAGTCTGAGGGAGGCCCCAGGAAAATGAGAAACAAAACCAAGAGTCACAAAAAGAAATGGTCAGGGTCACAGTTTAAACAGGTAGAACAATAAAGTCAATTTTTAAAACGAAGGGAATTCTTTAACCACAAATAATCGGCCTATGCTAATAACCTTCTGGTTAGCTTGCTGAAAAGTGAGATGCCACGGATGTTCTATGGCAGAATGTTCTGAGGAATCTGGACCCTCTCAACTCCCACAAGCAACCCAACATCTGGTATTTAACTGGACCTGCAGGAAGAACTGAAGGCACAACAAAAATAGTATGAAATGGCACTTACAATTACCATTAAAACCATTGGTCCCAGGTAAATGATGATGAAGAAAAATGCAATCATGGCCAAAGTCAGGATGCCTCTCACCCACCAGTTCTTCCATCTAGGTCAGGGAGTAGAGGAAGAAGGAAAACACCAGTTAGGAATCCAGAAAAAACCAAAGCACAAACCCAAGGCATACAGCTCTTCCTGAGATTCCAGGGCCCTGAGCTCAGTCCTTTCCAGATACACCTTGATGGAGGAGCAGGGCCACCAGTGACAATGCCTCACCTGCACCCAAACTCGGCAGGTGCTCCAAGGTCTTCAGAAATATACACCCAGCTTATGTTTTAAGGAAGGTATCTGGCAAAACAAAGCAAAACAAAACAAAAAATCCCAAGGGGAATGTAGTGCCTTCTGCTTCTGAATCTACTTGGATGGTTTCTATGGCTGACTCTATCTGAAGAAAAAGTACGAATGTTTTTTCTGTAGCAGGATGCTACATTGCACTGCCCATCATTATGAAGCTAATAGCATTAAGCCATAGTAACCGCTACCATAAATATGCACATGGCACTTTTATAAGGACTTGATATATATTTAATCCTTCAACTCAACACAACCAGCTTTTGCAGATGAGGAAATGGAGGCATGGGTCATAAGCTGGCAAATGGTGAAGCTGAGGTTTGAATCCAGGAGTCTAGCTGCAGAGTTCCATGCCCGTAACCTCTGCATAACACAGCCTCTTGAGAGGACAGCTGGAAGGCACATATGGGATCACTCAGATAACACTTTGAGGTCTTAGAATTTGTTTTTGTTCTACCCACACAACTGGTGTTACAAGGACCAAGTTCTCAGGAGCCAAAGTTTTAACCTTAGGTTCACCTAAGTTGAGATGTTTCCCAGTTCTTCCTGGAGAATTTAAGGAGTTATTCACAATAGTTATACATGGGAGAGGGAAAATGAAACTGAACTAGAAGCTTAGACTCCTCAGTGAAAATCAGCACTCCCATTAGTCACAATCCCAGGGACAGCTTCCTGTCATGTGCTGTGTCAGCCGACCCCACCCACCCCCATCCCCTTTGTCCACATTCTTCCATCTCCTTGGATTGCACCTCCCAGCCTAGCCCAGAGCACCCTTTTCTAGGGCCAGATCCTTCTGGTCCAGGTTGTCCTCCACTCCTGGTCGCTGTGCTGGCAGCCACTGCTAAGCACTAGATTATACTCAGTGGAGCACTGGGTAGTGGCACAGAAGGTTGAGGCTGAGGCAAGCAAACAGACCTGCCCTGCATACCCTACCAGAAGTGGGCTCCCTGAGGGTTCTCTGAGGACTGGGTGTTCCATGGTACTTAAACACAATGCAAGACCCCCAACAAACACTACACCATTAACCCAGGTTACCTTGAGGACAAATTGGAAAGGGCCCTGTTGAGGACCTCAGGGGTGTCATCTGCAGAGGTGGGCAGGGGAGCAGATTCCGCCCGGCTCTCACTGTCTGATGCGGTCTCTCCATCTACCTTTGCTTCTGACTCTGATTCCTACATGGCAGAAACACAGAAGATGAAAAGGTCAAAGATGCTGAGCAGACCAAAGAGAAATCTATGCCTGTCGTGGGATGGTATAGACTCCAAACAGAGCCTGAGGACACAGTACAGTCAGGTAATGGGACAGACAGGTCTAGCAGCAGAATTTGGTTGAATGTGCCAAGGTAACCAGACACACTCTGCTGTAAAAGGGGTGTGCATCTGCACACACACTATCTGCTCAACCATGGAGGATAGATCCAGAAGGAAGAAAAATGGCTGCTTTGTATCCAAAGAACACAAAAGGCAGGCTGTGACTAACAAGGGCTTATCCCTGAGCCTGCCAGGATGGTCAGTGGCACTGACCAGGCTCTCTGAGGAGAGGCTACCCCTGGTGTGAGGTACTGCCCCGTAGGCCAGTTAATGCCAACATACCCAAAGTTCTAGACTTCAGGAACACCCCGTGAGGTCACTCACAGTCATATGAAAGACATAACATATGGCCTTCTTGAGTCAATGCTTGAGCCAGGACCGGTACACCTCTGTCCCTTCCCTGCTACCAGGCCCCAAATGTCAGCAGACTCTGCAATATCACTCACACAGAGTTGCCATTCAGGCCCCAGCCATGAAGAAAAGATCTGTAGAAACTCCTCCTGCTCACAGCCTAGGAGAGGAAAACAGAGCATGCCAGCAACAAGCTCTTTATCCAAAGTACCAAGGAACAGGCTATTCTGAATCTTAGGGGCCATCTTACTACCAGGATCTTTTATTTCTTAGAATTTAGAATAGTTGCTGTGAGAAGAGGTAGAGGAGAAATCACATCACTCAGAATTAGTAGCAACACCACTTAGTATTTGTATAACCCTCCACAATTTGAAAAGATTTTCCTGTGCCTGCAGGCTTCAGCAGTACTGGGAGAAAGGGAAGCAGCAGGAAGAGCTCTGCTTACAAATAAAAAGCAGGGGCTCTGGGAAGTCAAATATCTGGTCCCAAGTCTCCTATTGACCCAGCTCTTATGACTTCCCTTAATGAACAGAGCAGTTTCAGATGTTCACTGGCCATTTGGATATCTTCTTTAGCAAAGTGTTTGTCAAATCATTGGCTAGCTTTTCTACAGAATTTTCTGTCTTTTTTAAAAAAAATTATTTGTAGAAATTTTTATGAACTTTAGATTTAAGTGCTTTGTGTCACTAACATGCTGTCTCAGCCTGCTTTAATCCCCACCCTCACTTCAGGGCAAGGTTAGACATCTAGTTACTTGCTCCTAACACTCAAACCTTCTCCCTCCCAGCACTGGCTACAATAGGGACTTTTTTGTAAGTCTTTTGTAAGAACTTTTGTCTGTCTGACTGACCATAGGCTCCCTAAAGATGAAACCATGATATCTTGTTCTCATTATATCCTCATGCCTGGCATACAGCAAAATACTAATGGATGAAAGGATGGAGGGAGGAAGAGAGGAATTAATTCCAGGTACGATAAAGAAAAACCAAGCCCCTGGCTTTATGGAGACAGTTATTTCTAAATTAATTTACAACTGTGATAAGGCCACGAAACAGAGGGTCTTAACCAGCGCAGACTGCTGATACCAAAAAGACAGCTGGCTTTGGTAAAAGAACATAGAGATGGCCTCGTCACTAGGCTCCAAGGGAACAAGTCAGCTTCCAACAATGGGCAACTGCTCCCTACTCTGCCACAGCAGGGCCAGGTGGTTCATGACAAGTCACCCAAGTGCCTCTATACTTTGGTGTCCTCACCCTATAAAAGGGGCCCGGTAAAGGCCCTCCTTACCTGTGGGGATTCCTTGAAGAAATATAACCAAACTCCCACCCAGGGCTGTGTCCTATTCCACCACCCAGAGAGGTTCTAAAAACATTAACACCCCCAGAATTATCCCTCTCCAGGCAGACTAGATGAAGACAAGGCATTCAAAATGGCTTTCCAGTCTTTATTTTAACATTGACACCCTTACCCCATCAGCAACAATCAATAATACCAGGTATGATGCTGCCTGATTATCTGGCTCTGACCCCTCAACCTCGGGGCTTCAGAGCACAAGCACCTGGGCCCCCATCAAGGCTCCCACAGATACTCTCCAGGAGCATCTAGAATCCACAGGGACTGCCCTCCAGAACAGCAGGCGAGAGAGCACTCACTCACACGCACAGAAGGCCCAGGCCGCCAGCACAAGGTTATTTTTAACTTATCCATCCTGTTGTCAAGGAGACTCACAAAGGCTGCTGGCTCCCCAGGCAGGGAAGGGCAGGAAGGGAACCCAGGCAGAGTCCTGCAAGGGGAGGGGCAGGCAGTTCCAGCACTGTGCTAAGAGTCTCTCTGAACCTTCCAGGGCCCTGTTAGGAACACTGAACCCAGCACTGTGTCCTGCAATATTGTCAGACTTGACTCTTCCTTCTTGCAGGAAGGGGTGAAGTAAAGAGAGATATCCTGAGGCAGAAAGTAGTCAAAGGAGATAGCTGTTATAAGGTGAGGATACCAAAGTACAGAGGTACACGGGTGACATGTCCTGAGCCACTGTGACTATTACTACCAACACAACAGGAGGACTGGGATGAATAACTAAGAAATGAAATAAAAGTCTTAGATGAACAAGCCTGAATGAGATGAACTTTCTAGGTTTTTCTTGCCTTTAAGTGAGTAACTGCAGGTTCCCCGGGCCTCACCCCAGGCCGACCGAAGAAGGATCCTCAGAGCCCATCCTGACCTCAGAGCAGGAGACCAACACCTGCATGGACCACCACTCCCCACAGGCTGCAGCAGGGCCGAACAGGTGGAAAGGGTACATATCCCTGTGAGAGGGGAAAGGGCACAGCCCAGAAAGACACACACAAGGAGGGAGGCAAGGAACCAGCTCTCTGGTTCTTGCCCCCAGCCCCCTAGCTGTGGATGTCACAGGGAGCAGGTTGGAGGAACAGAAATGGAAGGGAACGTGGAGGCCTGTGGTTTTCTGGCTCCTCCCCAACCCATGGGCAAAGGCCTTCTGCTGGGGGAAAAGGCTGCTCCCAACCAGGAAAAGGAAGTTGAGTGTTCACGGCAGCTTCCACAGAGGGCCTGGAAGGAGGCAGGGACCTGGAACCTATGTTCCTTCCTACAAGAAAGGTGGTACATGCTGGACATCAGTTTGCTCCTCTGGGGGATGGTGAGGCAGGCAGATGTCAAGGAAAAATTTCTGTAGAAGGAGGCAGCAGCCAGGCCTGGAAGGCAGGACACTCATGACACTTGGCACAGCCCTCCATTCTTAATGAGAAAAGGACTTCCTACCTGTAGCGGTTGTTAGAATGATCAAATGCAACCCTGATGAAAGTCTATGACAACTACAGAGACTGAAGAACACCAGCTGCCAGCTGCACTACCCTCCCCTGCCCCCACCTCTCAGTGACCAGACCACAGCACAGAGGACAGGGTATGAAAGCCTTAAATACCTACACCAGGCAGGCCGGTCACCCCCGCAAGGAGGGTGGGAGGATCATCAGGCCTTGCTGGGGATCATGTGCTGGCAAATTATCCAAGCTCAGCATCTGCCTGCATAGCTTCGTCTTCTCACACAGGCAGACCCAACTCCAAAACGTGTACCATGGTGTCCTAGACACAGAAGTTGCCCAAGACACAGAGGTTGGCCATTGCAGCCACACTCCCAGTTAGCACTCTCTCAAGTGGGACATGCAACCCAGTCTGCATACTGAAACTTATTTCCAATGACCTTAGTCTTACCTTTGTAGTAGACGTGTCAGTACATGTATAGACCTTAATGTGTGTAAAGTGGTACCCATGGTGAAAACATCATATACATGCCTGACACGGCAGTTTGTCAGGGGCCCTGGACAACTTGTTCACAACTGCAATGAGCAGTGCCTGGAGCACAGCAGGTACCCTAAGATCTGATGAACTAATTAGCTAATTAATTCTACTTGGCTTGTCATGGACAAAGGCATATAGACTGAGCTGAGTTATAACAGCACCCACTCTGATTTCCAGTTCACATGCCTTACAAACGCTCTGTCCACCTCCCTATCCCCCACCCTGGCTTCTGCAGCGGCTCTGGCAGCAGGACCAGACTAGGGTCCACTCCTTCCCCACCGGTGGGTGGTAGAGGGGAGGACCCAGCTCTGGGACCAGCAGAGTGCAGCAGGGAGAGGCTGCCCTGCAGCTTCAGACTCATCTCCGCCGAGCTCCCAGGCATCAGCTCCTCCATTCCCTTTCATTCCCAAGGGTCCAGACCAGAGGTTGAGTGGGCCTGACCCTCTCAGATTCTCTCTCAACCACTGCCCAACCTCCCACAGTGCCTTAGCCATTTCCCAAGGGGGTTATAGTGCTGGAATAAACAGGAAACAAGAGTGTTGCTTTAAAAGGAATGGGGGGGAAGCTCCTTCTGCAGCCCCCTTCCATTTGGTTTCCTTAGACCCTCTAGGGAAAGGCAGAAGCACTTAGAAGGACGGCCACATGTAGTGCTCTGAGTTCCAAGGGCTTGGAGAGAGCCATAAACATTTTTGGAGAAACTTGTGCTCTGAAAGCTTCCTCCACCAGCCTTCCAGGACCCCTTCTCCCCTCTCACAGAAGCCTCCCCCCCAGCCCCCAGCACTGATCTGGGGCTCAGAACAGCATAGTCTTTCTTCAGCAGAAGCAAGAGCAGGGGGGTGAGTTGGGAAACGATGTTCCCTGTGGTCAATGTCTGGCTTTCCTGGGGAAGGACACAGCCTAGTGTGGAACAACACTGTAGAACTCATTTTTACTACCAGCTCTCTAGGCGGAAAACCTCAAGGTTAGGCTGTACCCTGCCTCCTACCACACCCTCTTAATTCTCAGGATTTCCTGCAGGCCTGATGGGCTCATAAAAGCTTCTGAGCCACTGAGCTCCGTGGCTCAGCCTATAATCCCAGCACTTTGGGAGGGAGGGGTGAGTGGATTGTCTGAGCACGCGGGTTCGAGACCCGTCCAGGCAACTTGGCAAGACCTTGTCTCTACAATAAATAAAAAATCTAACCAGGCTTGATAGCACG